ATCTGGAGGTAACGATGAAAAATGATTCTCATCTTAAGGACAGAGTTTCAACAAAAATGTGATGATGAATACTGATTTTACGATCTCTTTAAGGCTAAGCAGAGATGTATCCAAGCAGAACTTGTCAGGGTTCATGAAGACTATACAGTAGTACAGGAATAGATCTACAGTACAGTACATACCATCAGATTATGATAACAAACCTCTTGATCACAGGATAAATTCAATCATCAACTTAGGTCTCAATCAAATAAGTTTAAATGCAGGTTTTCACGAGTCCTGGGAAATCAGTGAATCCCTCCGGATGTAGGGGTTTCATAGAACCTTTTATGCTATTTTCAAATTCTGGAAACTTCAAATTAAAGAACACTTACGTCTATTCCAAATCTTCACAATCCACTTTCTTCTTTAATTTAAAATGACCAAAGGAATGTTTTGTATTTACAATATATCTAAATCAGATTCCCTCTAACTACAGTTCTGATAAATAGCTTCAATGATCTGTAACATGAAGTACACAGGTGGCTTGTTCTGCTCCTTTCCCTTTGCTGATAAATCCTTACATTGGTAAATCTGCAAGAGACCTCTGATTCCAAAGCTTTAATATCCTGGGATTGACATGCATACATATCTGTAGAGTTGTTTTAAACAGTCTCATTTGCACTAGCTTTAGGAATGGATGTTTTAATGAAAGACAAGAAAACAGCTACAACAAAAAACATGGAGAAGCATACTAAAGGATCCAGACAACTGGGCAGTTCTTCTTTCTAAATCTTCACAAAACTAAACACAGTGTTTACTTTTTATGTTGACGGATATGGTTTACAGTTAATAAAAGCTGTAAGTGTGGCTTAAAAAGTGGAATATTAAACAGTAGCAACTTTTAAAAGATTTTTCTTTTAAATAAAGGAATTTAATGTAATGGTCAACAAAATCATTGCAAAGGAATATGGTTATTTCTGGTTACTACTTCCAGAGTCTAGTATGTAAACATAATAATGGAACGTTGAGTATAGATAAATGCCGAAAGAAAGGATGTACCAATCTGGGGTTTCAGCATCCCATATGCACACAACAGGAGTATCAGCAGTCTGGTTAAGTCAAGCAAAGTCTATTCATTATTTTAAGGTATTGACTGTGGGAAAAGAGGGGCTCACAGCTTGCTTAAAGTAAAGTTGGATTGTTGTGTGAAAACCAAGGTCCTGAAGAAAGAACCCCACAAAACCCAAGTTCCTAGATGTCCATTTAGTGTTTTCTACAGTCAGGAAGCCAGTTTATTTTCTCTTTACTTAAAAGCCTTTTGGAGAAAATTATTTTATTTTCCTGCAGTACCTAATCGCTTTGCCAAAAGTGTCCTCACCTGATTTAATGACCATAGTATCATTGTGCTAAACTGACCAGCAAAGTTACCTAGGTCTAAACAATAAAGACTAAGCAATGAATGACTTTTGTTGTCAAAATCAATTTTATAATATTTTTTAAGAAACATTGATAATTATCCATGGGCTCCAAAGTCTAAAAATGCCATCTCAAAGTTTAAACAAGAACAAGGTACATTACAACACTTTGTTTACAAAGTGATTGTCCTCTCACTATCAGCATGAATAATAATGGAAAATATGCCTCTATGGTGACTTCTGATAATTTGCCTCGTATCCGGTGCAGACGAATAATCATTTGAGCAAACTATGAACAATATATTTCATGGACAATCTCAATTGGGGGTCCAGAGATAAGTTGTTCCATTTTTGTTTTTAAGATGGGAAGAACAAACACAATTCTTAATAGTATTTGAAATGCAGAGTGCCAGTCTCCCTGTGGCCTCCCATCCATTATGATGGAAAAGGTTTCAAAAGATTTGTTCCCAGCTGAATCACAACTAGGACTTAATTGAATTCTTCCACTGTTTATTCAAGGTCAAAGCCCATCACTCTCACAGTCCTTTGCCTTGTAAATCTATCCTTCAACATGTCAGTGGGGGAAAAAATGAATAAATAATAGTGATATTTTCATTAGTCTACTTCTGCTCAATAGCGAGCCTTGCTGTTATCACTTAAAATTATGAAAAGGTACAATAACAGGGCTGCAAGTAACGATTGTTTTGCAAATCAATTAATCTGACAATAATTTTTTCAAATTATCAATAATAATCGGATAGAAATAGATTCTTTTAAGAACATTTTTTTTTACGAAATTAAACCAGGTGAAACTTGAGGACTTCTGGATAGAGCATATTGACAGACGAAAATATATATATTTTTTTATCTTAAGAAAATCTTTAGATGTTTTTATTTTATTTTGATATCATTACTGCTCTAAGTGGTTTGCTGTGAGCTAAAGATGTTTTACAGTCTCTTTACTCCAGTAAACGATTAATCGATTACTAAGTTAGTTGACAATTATTTCAATAATTGATTAACAAGGATTAATCCGATTAATTATTTCAGCCCAATATAATAATAATATTTTTTCTTCTAATCTAAAAGAAATCTACTCGGTTAATCTGAATAATTCTAATAAACAGAGCATGAGCTCTGAATCGCTTTATGAAATCAGTTACCTCTTAGTGAGCAGGCAGCAAATGCTTGCAGTTAGTTGCTTGAGATTATTGTCAGACAGAACATCAGCTAATCTGCTGAATTTTATAGATAATCCTAGCACTTATCTGAGTCCTGACCAACTCATTTCTACCCACTGAGATATTATGGTGCAACAACACTCCATCCAAAGAATATGCTGCAATCCTCAGCAGTACCAGCCAGAATGTTCAAATTGGATTCCAGGTGGATTCTTTTTTACTAAGATATCTACTGAATAACAGGAAAGTTCCTGCAAAGGATGAGGTATTTAATATTTTTTTTTTACTGCTGGCGTATTTTACATTTTTTGTCAACCAATTAGCTTCCCATGAAAAATTCCTGTTTATCACAACACTGCTGCTTGGAAACAAGCATGTTAATGAAGGCATTCCTGATTTACAACATTTCTGGTAAAAATTAAATGATATAAAAACCAAAAATCACTTAAAATGAATATCCTAGCAGATATGCGCCTTGATCAACTCAACAGATTGTAGTCAGTCACTTAGAAGATACCTATCTCAAAAGAGTGATATTTGATTAAAGATGCAACTAAGAAAGCAATCATACCTTTAAGAGAGGAATTAACTTTTTTGGGAGATAAATTAGTTTGACGTTTCCTATTCAAGCTTGGACTTAAGAGATTAAACAGACCACGTGACAAAAAACAAATAAAAAGAACAGCAGTTGCAGATTTGTTACCACACCCAAACACTTTAATTAATTAAGATCTGATGCCTTAGGAATATAATGTTTTTTCCATTGTCATTTTTATTTTTAACGAACCAGTTTAAATCATTTGAGCTCTGTAAGACGGTTATACTGTGGTCACAAAATGATTGACATGGTGAGCAATAATAATACTTAACCCATATTCAGTATTACACCTGGCTTGGACCACTGATGCAGGACAGGATGAACCTACAGTATCCTTCCATGTTGTTTAGGCCTAATTCTTCCTCTAACCTATGAATGCTGCAGCTGAAACAAACATATGGAATTGTGCAACTGTTTTGGACATGTTCTCCTTTTTCCAAGCTGAGCAATAAGTAGTCTTAGTTTCTTTTTTCTAAGCTGAAAGGAGGGTTAGCTGTCATTTTTTACAATTGCTTAATTTAGTCTTGAAGCCATTGTAACCCAATGGTTTTAAGAATAATGTGTGCCTTGGGGTAAAATATTATTGAGCTTGAAAATTATGAGCAATTTCTGATACATTCAGATTCGTCTGTCAGTCAAAAACAATGTGAAGTACAAAAAAAAACCGTAAATGTTTGTTCCTATTATCAGACTCATGTTTTATGGGCTATGAAGGGAACAAAATATTTTACCATCTATTTCATAAGGCCTTAATTTTGAAACCTAAACGTAAACCTTTCTTACGATCAGGCTGCACACCTGCTAAACAAGGCTACTGTAGGTGTGAGGATTATATTACTTACGCCTAAGAACATGTTTTCCAGTTTTGGAAAGGGAGTCATTCCCCTTTAATTCAAAATGAACACCCCTCTGTATGTTTGAAACCGTCTGTAAATTTTTTTGGATTAAGCTGTATGTGAAAACTCTCCCAGCTCTGCTTTTGAGTATTAAGCAGTTAAAGAACAAACTAAACAAGACATGAAAACCCAAACATTGGTAAGGCTGTATCTGTTTTCTCTTGCAAGGATTAATAAATGCTGCTTGAAGGAAGACCACCAATCTCATTGCAGCTAACTAACTGTATGAAGTACAGCCCTGTTATTAACAACATCTAACAGTTCTTACATTGATTAACTAAATGAACTGAGTAACTTTGGTCATAGCATTAGACAGGTAACACTATGGCTGTCATTTAAACTTAGTCAAACCATATTTATGATATATATTGAGGAGCTCTGCTGGGTAGCCACCGTGTGAAAGAATGCTTGGTGAAAGACTGGCACTAAAATTATATATAAAAAGCTGTTATGCTAAATTGTTCTAGGTATAAACATGTCAAATAACCATTTTAAAGCAGCATAATCTGACAGATCAGAATCTAGATGATTAGGATATCAAGTTCTGAACTCCACAAGATCATAACACAATTCTGTCCATTCATAAATGAATAAAATAATTCCTCCAACATAGCTGTAAACTCTCTGAGCAAAAGGTTCCATTGGTATGCAGTCATAAATACAAACTATAACAATGTCAACACTCACCTTTGTTAATTATTACTTTAATTGTGTATAATATATATGTAGGATGCAAACCAACACAACAACGCAGCAAAACTTTGAATTACCAAAAAATGGGACCTCATCCTCCATCTTACAACAGAAATACCTGCAGTGGGGCTTTTTTTAAAGCAAACTTCCGGGTTCGCACTGAATCAATTCAAACCAGACTATCAGAGCTGACATTAAATAAAAACACAGTTAAAATCAAAGGCTGGTGACTTACTGTGGTGAAATTTACAGCGAAGCATTCCTCTCCTCGAAAGGTGCACTGCAGAAGCATTTCAACAATGTCATGTCCTGTCCGGTTATAGAAATCAGTCATGTTGAAAAGTTTGGGCTTAAAGTTCTGGAAGTTTGCCTTTTCCTTTAGGACTGCCAGAACTTCAGCCTCAGCCAAGTGTGGGTTGGCTATTTGATGGTTATTGTTAAGGAGGGCCAGGAGTTCTCCAACATGATAAAGATCATTCTTTGTGATTTTGGAGAAGCGGAATTCATTGAGGTTGCAGAAGGTAACTGCAGGAAAGGTAAGGTTTGTTGCTGCCACTTCGTCCAACTTGGTGACATGAGGATACTCTAGATAATATGAAACCCGATCCAAGCAGACCAGCATTAGTAAGCTTAGGGAGCCCAAGAAAGATATAGTCCAAAGAAATCGACGGAATGTCATGTGTCCATAGGCAAATATGTGGCTCATGCCATGTAGGGTGGATATATTGGCAAATGCTTGCAGGTTGGAGGGCCTGACACTTTCAATGCTTTCCTCTGAGCTTCCTTTCATGGCTGTAAAGTGATGCTCAGTAGTCTCTACGAACTTCAGGTTAGACACTTTGCTTAGCAACAGGAAAAGCAGACTGTACCTAGGACTGATGTTTGGCACAGTCTCCTTTTTCCCTCAGAGAAGCTGCAATATTCTCAGTGAATAGCTACCTTAAAATGGTTGTCAGACTCAGTAACAGTTTTCTTTTCATTACGTCTCACATGCCATTGGTTTGCCAGCTGTTCCTGAAGTGCCAGGTCCCCCTTTTCGTTCAGTCTGCCGTTTTATTATCTCCAGAGCTGTATCTCACTCTCCCTGCTCAGCTGTCCTTTTGCAGAGGAACCAAAAACAATGAAAGAAACACCCACTTCTACTAAAAAAACGCAATGCCTCCTGCTTCCTGAGAAGACTCCAAAGGAAGGGAAAAGAAAAGAGAACAAAAAAACAGCAGACAGAAGGACATAGGCAATGAGGGGGGGAATGGGATGAAAAGAACTACCATTTGAAGAGGGGCGCTAAGCCTCAGCAGTCAATGGGACCCTTCCTCCTCCAATTGGAGAGAATGCCTCTACATCGCTTTGATAATAGGATGCAATGGTTTTCTGAATGAAGGTAATAAAGAGAGAAATGGCTCACTGGTCCCTCGCTGTCACCTTCCCTTTTCTCTGGTGTCTCTTTAGCGCTTCTCTTTTCTTCCAAGAAATAAAAATGAGGGGGTCAGAGACCTCCGACCAGCCCACCACCGTGACTGAAACACCGGCGTTTACTGATTCCGCGGGTTCCACTTCCCTTATTTGCACTGATCGAAGAGACAAGACCACCTCTTGAGCCTTTATGAGCAGTCCCCGAGAAGCATCAGCATTAAAGCCACCTCAAAACCTCCGTGCTTTAGTCCTGTTAACATACAGATTTATATTCTGCCGTGTGGTGTCCTTCACTCCGTTTCTTGGCTCCTTTCTCTCTGCCACCACTCAATTTCTTGCTCTCTTCATCTCTCTCTCTCTCCTCCTCTTTAGTAGTCAGGATCCATCCCACTGCTGAATGGCTGCTTTGCTTGTGAGTCTGTGTTCAAACAGAATGTCTCTCAATCTGGAAATCACATTAATTTCTTTATTATTCTCTAATCATGCCCTATAGCTCCACTGATGTCAACAAGCAGGTTGATTATTTAATTGAGTTTCATAGATAGTTATATATTTATGAAGTAGACAAAATAGTATCACAGAATTATTAACATTTAAATAGTTTTATGATGATACATAAGAGTAGGAAAACAGATTATTCTACAGAACATAGATAAACATCTTTTTAATTATGTATTTACTTTATATCTAAATTAAACATTTTCATATGTATTTTCTTAATATAATTAAAACAATTACATTTTCAGCTAATCTGTCTTGAAATGTGGCCACAATTAGGCCACAAATGGACTTTATTGGAGTTGAAAAGCAGTTGAGAAAGTGTTAATTTCCCTTAAAGAGCAAACAGGATTATCATTCATTGGCTACCTAGGGGCTACTTTTAAGTCTAACAATGGGTGTATAGCCAAAGATTCACAACCTTATCCTTTAAAGATCGATATTCTGCCCTGATAGCCAATCATGTAGATCATAGTGAAGCTAACAAACAATGCCACATAGCATGACAGCCATCTGATCTGCAAACTGATAAAAGGAAGTAAGAGATGTACTCTGCTACAAATCCAATTAGAGACTTTTAAGGTATGATAAAACCTAATACTTTGGTTTTCAGTCCATCTAAAATGACAAAAAATTTATTAAAACTAGAATAAGTACAAAGAATATGACTAATACATAAATAGAAAATGGAGAAAAGGATATTGTGTGAATATAAACACTAAAGTGCATGAACTACAATTTACATGGACATTCTTACACTGTTGTTGCGAAGCTGCCATCCACAAAGGGTGTGGCAGTTCATCCTTAAACTGAGCCACACCAATAGATGCAAGAGAATAAATGACACCAGAGGCTTGCCAGAACAGAAAGACAAATTAATCCAGTTGCAAATGCATGTTCGTGCAAGTGTGTGGAAGCCTTGAGCTTTAACATTCCTCAGACATAAACCACAACCACCTGCTTAGAAGCATGGCTAACAAAACAATTAGCCTTAATTGCTACCAATGCTTACTGCTGGATTAGACTGCAAACAAAAGCTATGTTGCCATTTACTTCATTTAAACAAAATGGCAGGTAGGCTGACAGCTGGAGAGAGTGACATCCCCTGTCTTTGAATACAAGTGTTTCTGTTAATGCGGATTATATCTTTTTTGTATATTTAATTCTATTCTGCTTATTTATTCACTAGCCTAACCTTTTCTGTTTGTTTAATAAGGTGAACAAAATATTTTTTTGTTTATTCCGACAGAATTGAATACAGCTGGTACATTTAATTTTCAAATAAAAATAAAAGTATTTAGGAATTCAGAAATTGAGAAAGATTCTCAAGCTAAAATGCTATTGAATGCGGGTATCACGGAATGCACAGTTTGCATCTCTGAGCCAAAATGTAAGCAAGTAAAAAAGCTATCTAGCTGAAACATTAAGGATCATAATAAACAAAAGCATTGCAAGTGCATTTTAATCAAGCTGATCCAGGTCTGTGTAATTCAATTTGGCCCAGTTGCTTTTTTCTGCACATTGTGTTCATCATTGTCTCCAAGGGTCTCATGTATAAAACATTATGTGGAGACCATACTAAAGATGTACATACACCAAACACCCGAAAATCGAGTATGCAAAAAAAAAAAAAAAATAAATAACCTGATGTATAAAACTATGTGCATGCAAAAGATTTAGCAATTTTCCCTTATACTGTAGATCACAGCTGTGCCTAAAGTTTGCGTCCAAGGCTCCACCTCATGTTTGGTCCCCTGCATGCCAACAAGAAACCATAAATGGTTGTAACATAAAACACCACATGAAGATCATTGTGTATTTAAAAGAGCCAGCTGATCAATGCTATTCAATGGTTACCAATGGCAACACCAGGCAAGAGAGCTGAAAAAAGCGCAGTTTAAACGATGTGTTGGTGAGTGAGGTTGAATAAAATAAATATGTTTGGTAGACACAATAAATAAAAGGAAAAATTATTAATGACACCTTTAGAGTTTGAAGACAGCATTGCACTTAATGCATTATTTATTTATTATTTTGTTCCTTATTAAAGCGGCTTAAGGCATAAAGTCATAAAATAATGTATTAGCCATATAATACATCATATATGTACATATGATTCTACGGTACTACTCTTACAAGCTTACAGATGGCAGAACTAAACAAAAAGTAGCAAAGACCTTTGTCTAACCTACAGAGAACAAGGAAATTTGATCTTGATCATGAGAGAGCGCACACACAAGTGAACTTGCGTGCAAAAAGTTCCCTGAATGGCAAATGCTAAAAGAGGATGTAAAACATATGCGGACCTGGCAATGACGCTATTGGACGCATAAGTTAAGTTAGCTGTTTGTGATCATGTCTATACTAAATATGGTTATCACTATAAAGGTGATAGTCAATGGGCCATGTAATTTGCGTAGATTTGCAGTGTTGCAATGTTAGGACCAAAGGTGGGCCGATTGATCCTCGTAATGATAAAATCGAGACCAACACTTGTACTTCTATTGAAGAATACTCTTATAGAATGATCAGTTCTACTTTTTTTTTCTCTGCCTCCGGTACTCACTGCCTTCAGCAGATTCATCACAGTCTCCCTTATTTCACAGAACTGTGCAGCTCCCCCTAGCCTCTTGTGACTATCTTCCACCGTCACACAGCCAAACAAGCAATTTTTGTTGTGGTGTGCTAATTTTGTTTTATTGTCTTAAGTTTCTGTTATAAATTGCTACATTGTTTTGTTAATGTTTCATTGTTCAATTGTAATAATAAAGTAAAAATCCCCACAAAAATTTATAGAATAATAACCGGTAAGCTGCATTAAAATTAAACTAAATCACCTTCAATTTAATTAATACACTTTAATTTAGATGAAAATGTGTATTGTGGTTTTGAGATTGTCATCAGTACTAACCCTGGCATAACCCTGTTTATTTTCCACCTAGGCTTTTTGTCACTGCTGTATAAATATTACCATAGCTGAATTTTTAAATATGCTCTAACAGGCATGTGGTTGCAGATTATAGGCTGAAAGTGGTGGACTTTTCAACAATAATTTGCTTTCAAGTGGCTTTTTGAAAGCACAGCATAAAGCAGAGAATACAAATGAGGTGCACTAATATTGGAAACATTGCTAACAACAAAACTCTCTTTAAAGGAGCATTTAAATTGAACTTTAAAAAGTAATAGACTAAGTAAATCTTAAGGCCTGTAAAACACAAGCAATACACAAACTATAGAGTTGCGAATATATTTCAGATACATTCCAGAGATCATGCAGCTAAATAACTGTTATTAAGTAACTAATCCTTTGTGCCACATGCCATGGGCGTCGCACCCGTGGTGAATGTGGGCAGATGCAACACCCACACTTTTCATATTTAAAGCCTGGACAACTAAACTTTTTCTCTTACTTGCAGTCAAAGTCGACTGACTCAAATATTAAGTAGCATGCTTTAGGTGAGATAGATCCGTACTTGCAGCAGTAGCCTCTGTAAATGTGAATTTGTTTATCTTTGCTCTGTTTTGTTTCTCTCAGAGATCGTTCTGTAGTCAACAGCATCAGTGTCATGCTGAAAAATGCTTCCTGTGCTCAAAGCTAAAGGTGCGCTTATAACTGTTCATTGTTCCATACTTGCCAACTCTCCCGATTTATGCACATTTTCTTATGTTATCTAAAACTGAGCTCCTAATCAGTAATTTCTCCCGCTAATCTCTTTCAGTGATGGAAAAAAGGTAAACCTGTGCGGATATATCCATGGGTGAAACAGACCCGGGGTTCAGGTGGGAAATGTTGCCCCACGTTTTCCCTATCTATATTTCCCTATCCAAGCTGTCTTTGAACGCTCTATGAGCATACACATGGTAACCCAAATACATGAAAACAGATCTAAGCACATCTGAACGTGAGCATCAGGATGTTTCGCAAACCCTGCAGCAAAAAGCAACATACTTTGCACTCTTTTCAAAACAATCCATGTAAGTCACGTTAAGTTTGCAAATTAGATTAGTCAGTTAAATAATGAGAAGCATGTCAAACATGCCAATATATCAATATGTGAAGTTAGTTTCAGAGGTTACTGCCTCTGTGAGATTACTTGCTGGCTATTTTATTCTTGAAATAAACCCAATCCTTTTTCATTTCTGTACTGACTTTATGCTCACATTTGCCCTCCACATTATAAAATAAGCCTTTTGGTCAGAATAGAAAGAGGACAGCCAGGGAAGAGATTAAAAAAATACCTATAGCATTAAAGTGACTTTAAAATTAAATATCACAACACGTTTTACTGTTTCTCTTCCTAATGCTGATTACAAATTTTGCTATCCACATTTTTTAAAGGCTTATTGCAATAATAGAACGAACAGAGTCGGGGAGGAGATGGACCAGAGGCAGCAGCAGGGAGAAAGATGTTAGGGCTTTACATGTAAGCAGAAATTATACTTCCCTGACAATATCTATTGCAGGAAGGAACCAGACAGGTATTAGGAAAAGGTATTCATAGATATTTTACAGGAAAGTTGAATTCAAGAGACTGATTAAAAAGCTCTGAAAAAATTATCCCGGGCCAGGTTCATGCTTACTTTTCTGTGCTTTCATGGATCTATCTCTGTTGTTATCAAATTAAACAATTTGTTTATGAAATTTCAATTTTGAATAGGTTCTCATTTTTTAACTGCATGAATTTGAAGTTAAGGTTCAGTGGCTGTGGACTCTTTTCTTCATGGCAACAGCCCATTAATAATTTTGATAGTAACACACTTTTTGATTTGATCTGCAATACATAATAAATGCATACCAGTGTAATGACTTTATTATTTAGCCTTCTAGTTCTCATTTTCAATGAGTAAAACTGCGTTGTTTGC